CATAAATTCAAAGATGATTTAATTTGCAATATTCAGGAGAGCTAAACCGGGAAAAGGATGATAGAAGTGTAATTCAAGATTGTTCTGTGGCAATGCGCTTATGTACGAGGATCGCGTAAAATCGATCGATACGACGCCGACTCCGACCGTAAAGGCGAAGGTGCTCGGTAGTGGATTTTGCAGTTGCCTTCGACCAAATGAGAAGTTTTTTCGTTTTTGTAGCAGCTGAGGGTTGAAGAGTAAACTTATCGTTAGGTTCGTACTGTCGTCACTGTCGTCAATACTAATCAGTGCTGACCCTGACTCTCCAAAACCGAATCGCAGTAGCTATTTATTCTATCATTCAGAAAGTTTTGGGAAATTCAGAAGGGCAAGCGATTGCTTGAGACGCCCTGTCGTATCTCGATTTTCTGGGAAGCGCCTTTACCGATAACATAGCTTTTTCGTAATATGCTACTCTTCCCATCAGTTATCCCAATGTTTTTCCCTCACCATTACAGTAACCATTAGGGTTTCACTTGCAAGTTAATCCCATTTGGTCTCTCGGGATCACCTCATCCAAAAAGTATTTCATTACTTCTCGTTGACCAGAGCTCAAATGATTCGGATTGCTAAAGGTTCAGTAGAATGCAGTACTTTTCTAGGTCTTCACCTGTAGGAGATGGTCTTTTGTGTTAGGTCCGTTTTCTTCAGTTGGCTTTCTGTTGAGTGTTTGACTGGCAGAGTGGCAAATTGGCTGGTGAGACGTTTTGCGAAGTGCTTCTTCATCGACATCTCTTGTAACCAGTTCACAACAACTGCAAAGAGTAAAAGTAAAATTGGGTATGAAATTTGAGTTTTTACTATTTATTCTAGCTTATTTTGACTTACTTCAATCATTTCTATCTTTCCTTTTTTCCTATCTATTTATTTTATCACTTCATATACTATAGTATCATATTATAATATTGTCATGATGCCATAGAATCTGATAGTATCAGTAGCGGTAGATAGTACGTAACTGCTCATTTTACTCATTTCTAGGAACACAAGAAATGCTTAGTATCAAAGCAACACAGAACTACTTTGCTGTGACAATTCTGACTTAACTATTTACATTTACTGAAACCTTGTACCTTGTTTTACTTCGATGTATGGGCCGATGACGAGGAGCCGATGCTGACGTATTGTTTTCTTTGATAGATTGAGAATGATTTGTTTGGTTTGCTTGCATGCATAGGGGAACATTGCAGGATCTGAAATAGGTTTTTGCAATTGTATTTATTGAATATATTTGAATAATTGATATTGCTTGAATTGAATAATATTGTTAAGACTTTTGTTGAATTCCCTACGTCTACCACAAATTAGTGCACT